CCTTAGGCACGAAAGCCATCTAGGGCACTTTGGGCCAATCACCAGGAGACGAGGAATTCTAGTTCTGCCATAGCCATGAAAACCAAGTGGGTGACCAGGAGACGAGGAATTCTAGTCCTGCCTTAGCCATGAAAGCCTCTCTCTCAGCCCAACCCACCTGCCAGGTTTGTAGTTGTGGGGAAAACAGGAGGAGGAGGAAGGAAAATGAGCTCTGTCTGTCACCCTGAGTTACTGATAAAGGAATAAAGGCAGGATATCTCATCAATCAATAAAAAGAGACTGGCCTCTCTGCTAAGTAAAAGAAACAGCTAACCACCGTAGAGAAGAAAGAGTCAGCTAGGAAGGGTTCAAACATGGAAGAATACTTTTCTTATTATTTGCTGTCGTGCACTGTGGAAGATGGCTCAGGCCAGGGAGGAAGGGTGGGACAGAAGGTGGCATCTTCCCCCTCCACCCATGGAGAGGATGTAAAAATATGTGGGTGCTCCCATGGGGTGTGCAGCCACAGTTTTGGGGCTCCAGAGTCCCTTTCCCAAGGGCGAGACAGTTCTGGCTTTCTCGCGTTCTGAAAAATCAGCCCTATTTCCAGGGTGTCTGCGATGCTGCGTTTAGTTCAGACACACACACACACACAGACACACACCCCTCTGGCACATTCCACGCAGGAGGGTTTGTGCGAGAGGCATGACCTGCCTGGCATCTTCACCCGCATGCTTCACGATGCCAGCCAATTTAATTACCGCCTAACATTGGCTAAGGGGGTTGCCAGCTGTTACGATCAACCATCCTGGGGCATCTCGCGTCTGTCTGCTCTGCCATGGCTTCTGTACCTCAACCTTGACTTCACACTTGGAGAAGAAAGCTTCGCTGGGAAAGGAGGATTCAGCCCACCAGACTCCCAGGCTGGCCCAATATTTTACTTCTCACCCAAACAGACCAAAGTCAGGCTGCTCCTGTGCATGGCAAGCCGGGTTGGTTCTCTCTTTCTCCCAAGAGATAACATGGAAAAGGGGATTTAAGCCAAGAGCCAAGGCTCTTTGAGACCTTTCTGGCAGCCAAATGGTTCACATCCATGGTCAATTGGAGAGACGTGTTTAATTTTCACACCCCAAAGAGCGGTGGGCAGCCAGTTCGGCTTTTTAAAGCAAGGGAGTCCCCAAATTTCCAATCGTTATTGTTTTCCCCCAAGCTTTAAGTGGAGGTGGCCAAGGACAGAAACGAGCAAGAACGAGGCTGTGGTTCTCAAGCTTCAAGGCACCCTTCTTTTACATGGTTTGCCTAAATAACAAATCCTCCCCTTGCTTTGTTTTCTCTGGAGAGAAAGAGATTAGAGTCTTGAAGATTGTTCACTTTTTAAGATGGGTGGGAAAGAGAGAGGGGGGGCAGGAAGGGAAGGAGAAAGAGAAAGAAAGAAAGAAAGAAAGAAAGAAA